GAGGCATGGAACAAGCTAGATGATACCTTATTTGATTTGCTGGTCCAGTTAAATGAAATCTCGGAGCAGTACTTTTTTTCGAAAAAATGAGGCCATGAAAAAGTGAAAGAGTGTAATGGTCCAAGAGGTCTATGATCTTTCCTGTGAATTTCTCAGGCCAAAACAATATCCACTAAACACCAACTGCAGTACGAGCAAAGATTTTCACAACTTTATCTCTGGTTTTTCAATGAAACGGAGTCGACAATTTGTAACCTTGCGGTAGCCGGCTTGATGGTAGTCTAGGTGCTATTTCCATCCTTAAAACTGCATATTATTTACAGAGTTCCTTCCCTAAAGTTTCGGCCTATGAGTCAGTCGCTTTTGTAGATGTTTTTCTTTTGCCCTTGAGGCCGATGAATTTTCTCACTTATCTTGTTCAATTGTCACAGCTCCACAAACCTCGACATGCATCGCTGGAAATGGTTCCTCTACACATTCACGTTCACACCAGTTTTTCTGTTGTTTACACTGTTGTACTTGACGAGTTGTCACACCAAGTGGAGTCGACTCTCCCTACGTTTTCGCTGTTTTACTTTGTGTTGATTGCTGTTACCCAGTTGGAACTGTAGACAAACGGTAAAAGCTGTTACCAAGGTGTGGCTGTCATCACGACAGGACGCATTGATGTGTGCAACTTGTGAGGGCAGAATGCTGACTTGGAGGGCGGACAACGGCTAAAAAGACCGGAGAACCCCTATAGAAGCCATCTGGCGATTGAATTTGTGATTTATATTGCAACGGGAGAATATTGTAATTACAAATCACCATCACAGCGTAGGATTCGGGAATTTTATGCTTCGAAGTCATACAGAGCGTTTGGAGACCCGGTATGAAGGCCTGGAAGGCTAGTTGCTTTGCTTCTTTGTGGTTATTTCTTGTGGGAACATGGTTTGTCTCACTGGATACAATGACCTGGAAGGTTTAGGTTCGTTTGTGTAGGGCGAGTTTTAACTGAAATTGTCTACTGTTTTCAGGGATTGTCTGTTTATATTGAAATATTTAAAGCTCTATAAGAACACGTGTGCTCCTATCAGTTTAGATGTAGGATACCTATGGAACTCCACACAGGATTCTGGCCCTCATCAGCACCCGCTGTCTTTCAGTGACTTCAATGAACTTGTTTTTTCTTCTAGGCCTTTTTGAACCAACGTGACAATGTGCTAAATCATGAAGTTTGAAAACAGAATACTAGTTCCCATCTTTCCGCATTCCAACGTTCCAAATGGTATCGAGAAACAGTTTAATGAGTGGTCGTCTTCAAACCTAGCTCTTGTTTACTCGAAGCCCACTAACTGTGCTTTACTTCCCGTCAGCAACATTGTGGTAGTAAGCAGTTTGGTATTTTGAACTGTTATTTCCACAGACTTGTTTCTCTCGTCACATCTGTTTAACCACTATGTTGTTCGATTCCTTTTCTTCCAAACGATTTTGGTACTCCATCTTGAATAGTGAACGTAAACTGCCCCGATGCCGTTATTTCGTTGGGTGAGAACTTTAATACTTGCCCGGTCAACCAGTTGACAATATTGTCTTGGTCGAATTAGGCATCAACATCACAAAGACCGAATCAAGGCATATACAAATTACAATGCTATTTTGCCTCATAGACAGTGATAGAAATCTGTCTCTGCGTTCATGGCGGTACATACCTGCATTTAATTTTCTCAAAACCCAAGTTCTCTCCCCAATTGTAACACATGGATTGGAAGCTTGATCGCGGTGCATCCAAAGTCTAGGGGTTTCTGATAACCAGTGTTTTTACGGGTTCTTTTAGTTCACTAACTGGTGGACGAATCCAATGGCTTGCTCTGCTCCTTTGACGACAGCGTTTGTGTTGTACAGAGAGTACAATAAGATTCGTGAACAGGTTCTACTCTTGCGCCACTTAAGAGTAATTGTGGTCGCCTGAGGGGACAATATAAGACATAAGGCGGTGTCATTAAAACCGTCTACACAGCTGGTCACTAGGACCAGCTTTGGTTCGCAGTTCATACAGATCTGGTCGTCAGTTGCCCCTCCTGGATGTCACTGAAACCAGCTTACCGCCTCAGAAGACAGTGGGTGTAAGTGAAAATAAGTATTCAAACGACCGCTCTCCGTGCTGTTCAAATGTGCATCATCGCAGATAGCTGAGTCGTTTCTGCGGTACTTTTCATTGTTGGTGTCTCCATTGAGTCATTTTTTCATTCGATATTTTGATTACTTGTTTGAGTTCGATTCAATACTGCTGAACATTTTGGAAATTTCTCAGTTTACCCTTATATTATGGATTCATTTTTGCACCTGCGTGCACCGGTTCACTCATAAACGGAATCATTGCTTTTTGACCGTACCACATCAACCTGCCCGTGCGGCTATCGGTTCAGGCAGGGAGGTTTCGGGCGGACCACCAATGATCGTCGTGTTAAACTTTGCAGTAAATGCCTTCCGTTTTGAACCATCTTAACGTCACCAGTAGAAGCCGTGTGCATTTGACCCAACTTTTATAAATACCCTTTAATAAAGTCTTCGGTGCTGTTGTTATGTCCTGGGCCTTAGTCATGCTGTGTGTACAGGTGTGGAAAGCCCGATGTCTCAATCCAATGCTGACTGCTATTCATTAAAAGTGGGGAGTTTAGGAGGCAGTTCGTTCAGTTACCTATCAGTTGCGTGAAGCTAACTAAAACGGTTTCATGAACAGCTCAATTTAGCACAGTTTGATCGTGTGGAAGACTCACGTACTATCTTCCAGAACAAAAACTTCGGTGAAGGTTATCTCTTCGACCTCGCGCCGTCAAACGCAAACACACATCCTCCGTTTTGTCTGTTAAGTGTGAGCTATTCACCAGTGCAGATACTTCAGGTGTTCGAGATCCCGTAATGTGAACCCGGGGCACTACAGAGGCTATGTCGTGAGTTTCTGATTATATGGTCCGTCCTTGAGTCCCGATAGCTCTTGTTTAGGTTGGAAGATCTGTTGTTCAATCTGATTTGACCCAACCTGTTTCCTCATGCGCAAGTTATACACCTGTTTCGAGTTGTCGCATAGCATGGGTTTTGCTTTTATCTGGCAGTTTTACTTCGTCTCTCTGGAGTCTCGAGCCCTCTCGTAGACAACTAGTCAGACAGCTTTTTAGGAAATCCACGTTTCAGACACACGTTTTTTCATTTGTCAATCGCGTCCTTTGAACCCGTCTCATCGTATTGACTAATAACTGTGTGATCAACCACCCATCGTTCACTGCTCGGTTTATTTCGGTTCAGGTCTGTGATTGATCCACGTGACGGCCAACGGGTTGCACTGAAGCGGATCCCTCGCGTGTTTCACAATTCAGTCACTGCCAAACGGGTTTATCGGGAGTTGAAAATGCTGTCATGCTTCAAACACGACAACGTATGTGTGAATACCTCTGTCCCCATTTTCTTGTTTACAAGACTTCCCTTCATTGCCTGTAGTCACTATCCTACTAGCTTTAAACCGCTTGTCTTGGCTCGTCACAGTGCTGTCATGACCGTTGTCACTAACTAATGATAGTTAAACAGTGCAAAATCACCCACCCTCTTAGCGGATATCTGTTCCATTAGGACTTCATGTGAATCCACGACTTTTCCATATTTCGTAGGACACAATTTTGATTATCTGCCCAATCTATTCCGTGCTTTCCTTACTTTTCAGATTGTCAACCTCCTTGATGTCGTGAAATCCGAGAACTATATGAAATTTGATGAAATGTATCCTTTCTGTTTGCGCTGCTATATTTTTTTTTACAAACGGAAGCCCTAAGGTGACCCTAATCGTACCAAGTCTATCGACTCTTTTACTTTGTGATCCTTCTGACGCAATCGATGTACTGACTCTGAAGTGCAGCTACGCGGCTACGACCCAAAACAGAATGGACGTGACCTGTTATTGTTCTTGGTATTATCTTCGTTGTTATTGTTGTTGTTATTCTCGCCGTCGTTGCGAGCATAGAATGACCTCCAAGGCGATAAGGTCATCACATAGGCACACGCACAATATGGCATGCGCGAACTAGAACAGTTCATGCTGTCCAGCCGTTTGGTTTTGTGCGTTAGTGCGACTTTGGTTGCTTTGTTTCTTTCAGTGTTGTTGACTGCTGTCCTGCCTGCCTGCCTGCCTGGTTGCCTGCCTGCATCGTCCAGTTCGTGCTCGCGCGCAGCCGTCTACTAGCCTCCTTTGTTTGCCTTACAAGGTCACCACAAATACGCACGCCAAAGCAGTCTGGAAGTGAATTCATGACGTTGCCTGACAATGAATGCTGGCCTAGATTCTTCAGCTTGGTTTTCGTTTTAGGCGCGAGACTCGTTTGTATCCACTATCTGGTCGATTTGTGCAACCACTTCAAAGTGCTTGTTTCATCAGATTTGTGGTCGTTCTCGTTCCGAAGTTTTCAGTGATGGGATCATTTGGATAAATGTCACCGTTGGATTCTCGTACAATTATCTTCCATCAGTTTTGTGCCCAAACTGTTTTGGGACAGTCACGAACCACCGATGGGAAAGCTCGATACAATCGCAAGGGCGACGCGAATTAGAGATGGGGACGTTCTAGGGGGCTGTGGCTTTCTTGGTAGATTTAGTTTGAAGTGTTCCGGTCAGGACAGAGATTCACCGTCGCTTACTGGCTGTCCATAGCCAATGTTGAGCTTCCAACATTGCCTGTTGGCTAAACCTGTCTGAGATGCTCGGAATTTTCGCAGGGAGCCGATTGAATAAGGATTTGACCATCCTACACTTGACTGCCTCAAGAACTGAACACCGACTACCCATTAGGAGTGATTGCTAACTTCTCCCCTATGAATGATCACACATATAGAAGTTAGCATAAGACCGCCTATACTGATTTATTCCCATGTGTTATTCCCAGCGACCTGGCTGATGAATTTCGCAACATTCAGCCACTTCGCTGTCGCAAACTTGCGTCTTCTTGAAGCCCCTCGCGAGATCTAATGCCCGAAGGCTATCCTTTTCTTTCGTGTCATTTTCACCTACAAGCTTACGTGGATCAGATGTTCAAGCGTTGCAACTTTGAACTCGTGCCTCACTGTTTATAACATCTGCAATTTAGCCCACGTAAAAAACGATACTGCACCACTTCCAGGACCTCCAGCTCAAGACATGTTCGGTCGATAGTCAGGGATGGAGCCTTGTCACAGTAAGGGACTAGTGCTCGTCTATGGCGCGCAATAGTTCACATTGCTATGCACGAGTCAACGAAGCGTGATACATCCAGGGCTGGAGAAGCGTAGACGTCTTGACTACCGTACAACACTGTCTTGGCCTATATTGAGTAGTACTGGTTCTTTTCAGGATATTCAACCTCATGATTAAATCTCTTTCGACAGTTGTTGGTCGTGCTCCTCTGTCCTTAACTCTGCCCTCGTGTCCTCCTCATCTAGCTACTTTATGTTCGAGCTCATGCAAACAGATTTGCACAAAATCATCGTCTCACCACAACCTTTGTCATTGGACCATGTTAAAATATTTGTCTACCAAATATTACGAGGTAAGTCGTTGGTTGCCTGCTTCTTTTGTGTTTTTCGTCATTTTTGACCACAGTTGCAAATTTGCTTGGGGTTTAATTTCACGTTCATATCTGGTGGCGTTTTGTCGCTTTTTTGGACAGGGGAACGCTGTAATGACGGATGCGTCTGATTGGAATTTCTTACAGCAGACACGTAATTCGTAAATGGTTTTCACTCCGTACATTGCTCGGTCCGAAAATCCTTTTGCTCCAGTGGGGGCACATACGTCACTAACTCAGGTCCCACAGACAACATCGTTTTTTATGCAGTTCTCTGGCAAAAGCAGTCACTGCAGCAGAGATCAATCTGACCCTCCCCTACAGCTGAAGCCTAGAGACGGAGGCCAATACTTATCTAAAAAAAACCGCCAAATTAGTGTAGCCTTTGGTTCACAATACCGAAACCCACCCAGTCGATAATTTTTTCTGCATCATACCAGACCGGAATGCACATGTACACGGTCGTTTTCCTAAGTGTTCATCCATTCCCAAAACATGTATACGTGACACTAACAAGTGACGCAGAACCCAAAGGTGCATTTTTGACATTCATGACCTGTCGGATTCGAGACAGCATTCATGATTTTCCGATGACGATGGCAGGCACACTTGGGCCTTCCATGTCACGTGCCTCTCCTGCATTTCATGTTGCTCATGTTTCCGGTCTCAACGTACCCAATTGTTTACCGATCTCTTCAAAATAGTTTTAAAGGCTGTAGTGTTTAGTTCAGCAATACATGCTAATTTATAGAACTACTCAGTGTCAAATTGCTGTAACTACTCTATTTGCGTGTGCTGAACTCTCCACACAAATCCTACCAAAGCAGCATGGTCGCGATAGGATAACGAACCCAGTTTTGATAACAAATGTGCACTCAATTCAGCTGGTTGCAAAATTGTCAAAAATAAAAGGGGAAATGATCCATTGTGGAAAGGCTTAGCTCACATCAGGATTCAGTTCTAAACTATGCTCGACAGAAACATAGTCTTTTTGATTATGCATATAGGTGGTTTTAAGTTGAATGTCAGGCTGTACATGTCAGACTGTACATGAACTGCTTAGCTTACTTCAAGTCGACTACCGCAGCTATCTGAACGCGTGGTTACCCAGTTCGGTTGCGAACCGGCCAACGGAACCTCAGCACGTGGTCAGGTCAGCTGATGATCCGGTTGATAGCTGATTTACTTCCCACTCACCTTGACACCGTACGTGGACAGTAGGTCAGCTGATCGCTTGTCCCCTCAATGGATCACCGGTCGTTTGACTGGAATCAAGAGTACGTTGTGGTATGATTCTTCGTCACGTTGGACGATTCGGCTTCTTCCGGCAGAAGACGCAAATAGTGTATGAAGCTTCATCTGGTTGCTGACTGGACGCAAGTCTGGATTGATGCGCTTTAGCACTCAGCGAGATACGCTGTCGTGGATTGCACTGGGCATCCCGGACTATGCTGCATCATCCAGAGGGCATGGAACTGCACCCATCATCACCTGCTCCCAGAGGATTTTGTACTCCGACCTCCGCTCCATCGTCTCACAAGTTATGTTCTTTAACCAGAGTCTTCATATGGGTCTGTTCAAGTTAAGCCTATAACTCAGTTTCGACAACCGGCTTGCAAACAACCTCATTTGCATACCAATTTGGTTTTCACGGGAAATTCACCTAAAACTTGGGGAAATTCCTCGTTTATGGTGTTTATCAACTGAACCGCCTCATGCTTCAATTGGTGCGATATTCGGGATATCGCAATACATCGTATGCACGCAACACACAGCCCACGACCGGTTTCCCAACAGACAGCATTCATGATTTTCCGATGACGATGGCAGGCACACTTGGGCCTTCCATGTCACGTGCCTCTCCTGCATTTCATGTTGCTCATGTTTCCGGTCTCAACGTACCCAATTGTTTACCGATCTCTTCAAAATAGTTTTAAAGGCTGTAGTGTTTAGTTCAGCAATACATGCTAATTTATAGAACTACTCAGTGTCAAATTGCTGTAACTACTCTATTTGCGTGTGCTGAACTCTCCACACAAATCCTACCAAAGCAGCATGGTCGCGATAGGATAACGAACCCAGTTTTGATAACAAATGTGCACTCAATTCAGCTGGTTGCAAAATTGTCAAAAATAAAAGGGGAAATGATCCATTGTGGAAAGGCTTAGCTCACATCAGGATTCAGTTCTAAACTATGCTCGACAGAAACATAGTCTTTTTGATTATGCATATAGGTGGTTTTAAGTTGAATGTCAGGCTGTACATGTCAGACTGTACATGAACTGCTTAGCTTACTTCAAGTCGACTACCGCAGCTATCTGAACGCGTGGTTACCCAGTTCGGTTGCGAACCGGCCAACGGAACCTCAGCACGTGGTCAGGTCAGCTGATGATCCGGTTGATAGCTGATTTACTTCCCACTCACCTTGACACCGTACGTGGACAGTAGGTCAGCTGATCGCTTGTCCCCTCAATGGATCACCGGTCGTTTGACTGGAATCAAGAGTACGTTGTGGTATGATTCTTCGTCACGTTGGACGATTCGGCTTCTTCCGGCAGAAGACGCAAATAGTGTATGAAGCTTCATCTGGTTGCTGACTGGACGCAAGTCTGGATTGATGCGCTTTAGCACTCAGCGAGATACGCTGTCGTGGATTGCACTGGGCATCCCGGACTATGCTGCATCATCCAGAGGGCATGGAACTGCACCCATCATCACCTGCTCCCAGAGGATTTTGTACTCCGACCTCCGCTCCATCGTCTCACAAGTTATGTTCTTTAACCAGAGTCTTCATATGGGTCTGTTCAAGTTAAGCCTATAACTCAGTTTCGACAACCGGCTTGCAAACAACCTCATTTGCATACCAATTTGGTTTTCACGGGAAATTCACCTAAAACTTGGGGAAATTCCTCGTTTATGGTGTTTATCAACTGAACCGCCTCATGCTTCAATTGGTGCGATATTCGGGATATCGCAATACATCGTATGCACGCAACACACAGCCCACGACCGGTTTCCCAACCAGTTTTCAGCAACCCTATGAGTAGTGTGTTACTTACAAACCATGGAATTATTTTCATCTCTACCCTGGTATGAACTCAGACATTACTGACTTAGCTCTACATGCACAGCCCCTTTTCCCATAAATTTCGTCTACCTTCACCTTAAATTCGTAGTCCTACATCTGCTACCCATAGTCGTGATTGAAAATGCTTCTCAGCATTCCAAACTCGTTGTTCTTTCATCGTCGCACTCCTTCCTTGTCAGTCTCAGTGTCCAAAGATTAATGCACACAGACTACTGCCACAAAGAGACTTTGGTGACACCAGAAGCTGGCGTATACTACCTCATAAACACGTTTATATGACAACAACACAGTTACCTCCGTCCAGTCCTGCGAATGTATCCTATTCGTTTTCTTCTGGAGAACTCTCCACCACGGCGATAGGCTGGCAACATGGTTTCGGTTTTGATTTGAGTGACAGGGCGGAGGCTGCGTTATTAAAATGGATTTCCATCAGCGGTCCATTACACAGTGTTGGATTTGTTGCGACAAGTAGGGCACCGAGAACGGGATCCGCAAACCTTGTTTGTTCGTCATTTCTGCCTACTAACTGGAGCGCCGAAATAACAGAAAGTGACTTTTGTAATTCTTGGAAGAAGAAAAAGCCAACTTTCCTGCTGGAGTGGGATGCATCGCCAAGCAATTAAGCGTTGTGTTTCTTCTAACTATATGTGTAGCCTTCGACTCCATTGATCGAGCGCGATTATAAAAATGTGTAGGGTTTGTATGCTTAAGTCCGTGCTTGAGGCCCTGTATCAAGACGCGGTAGCTGAGGTGCGAGCTGCCGGTAAGTATCCTAGCCGTTCTTCTCCAATGGAGTTCGGACTGTCCTGTAGCTCCCTTCCTCTTCATCTTTGCTGTATGTGACATATTTCGCAAGTGAAGGCATCACTGCTAATAATGGTTTTGAGCTTCCTTCAGTTTATCCATCAGTGAATGTACGGGACATCGACCACGTCGTTGTAGTGGGTAATAGCGCCGTAAACACAGGAATACTGTCCAACCGCTCAGCCATTCAAATGTCTTGCCACAGGATGGTTTTTGCACCATCCAAATGTTTTCATTTCTTAGGGGTAGTATGCAGTGTTTCCTGCAATCAATTCGTGCGTGAGTTTTCGACACGGGTTGAATCCACAAGTGTGTATAGTTGTGACGAGCCGCACTGAGCCCGGCAACCGTATGTCATCGGTAGGCACGAGTCTATTGAATTCGATATGAGACCGTGGGAGGGCAGATGGTACTAGAATCACGGATTGGGTGGTGTGGAACTCCTCACGTATCGCACTAGCAACTATCACGGTTTCAACTTCTACTATCATCTGCACGGAATTCGGTTTTGACAGGAGACTCAACTCAATCTAGCTGAACCATCTCTCGTTTATGAAGCCGACCATCACAAACGAGGGATTCAGCTGAACTCCACTGAATCTCCCGTCAAAACCGAATTCGTTTAAAAATGTGAGTATCTGTCGAAATCTGACCAACTTGGGTTCAAGTGGATCATACGGTTGACGGACACTCGGGGACTGCGCCTATTTGATGAAACTGAAGAAGGGTGAAATCGGTCGCGGGCTGTCGAAAAGTTTTTAGCAGCCTCATAAATACCTTGTTACTATGGCTTCACTTGGGGCCGTACAAAGCTGTTGGTTTCTGTCCATGCTTGTCTCAACCTGCATTTTGTGTTTGGGTGTGGGCACATCAATAGGTCTCTGTTCAAAGTTCATCAACGATTTCGGTGTACCTTCAGTGCGCATTGTGTGCCAACTTCCTACACCTAGCTAACACCGGGGACTCTACAGAATCATATGGTTGGTTTCGTATGGGTGGCGTTGTGTTTTTAGACTTGTTGCCAGTGTTCAACAAGTGTTGCGATCGGCAATTTTTCGTTGTCTCATATCAGGTTTATGCATCTTTTCAATAGGGTTGAAATATCTCCATTCCGCACGTATCATTCACCGCGATATCAAACCAGGCAACATGCTAGTGAATTCCAACTGTCTTTTGAAGGTACGTTCAGTGCAGTCAGCTGTTTTACTCGATTTTTTTCCCACATATCAGTCAGCGATAAATGTGCAGAAGCATGCGCGATTGTGTGTGTGCAGTGTCTAAGTCGTTTTTTCCTCTGTTGCGTTCTAATGCCATCTAACGAAAAAAACTCTGTGTGCCTAATCGAACCGCATGGGACAAGAACGATCCATATTACAAGCTGATACTAGCATTTTTATATTTTACTAAGAGGGAAACGCATAACACCTATCTGGGGCCCTGACAAACCTTCTTGTAATGAACTTTGCTGAAATTGTACAATATGTACATGCTCTCCTAGCTCTCTCTAAGTTCACTTGCTCCTGTGAGTGAATTTCACTTGATGTATTAAGTGCATCAAAGTGCATTAAATTCGCACAAATATCTTCAGTTTTTTCGGTACCCTCGAATCCTGTGGTCAGAGAATTCCTTCGTTTGCAACAGACATTTTCTTGAAAAAACTGTACTGATGGAAACGTATCTCGTGAGAAACCAAACCCACCACTGGTCACCACTGTTATCAGTATGTCTATATTAGCCTCAAGAGAACTATATTAATCTCGTCCTGCCTCAAATGTTGGTGGAATTCCATTTGAATGTGTTTACCATTTCAAGGCCGTGTGTTTCACCCACCCTAGGAACCGTTGCTACTTCCCAGAACTACGAATATTTTTCGTGCAGCAACGATTAAACTTTAGAAATTCGGGTTCTGAATCCATATAACCGTTCAGCTGTAACACCCTTTCGGTGCCTAGCTGCCATACCACCCGAAGGAAGCACGAGGGCTGGGATGCTGCCAGGTTGACCAAGCCTAGACAGGAGAAGTTGAGATGCAGGTGTTGGTTTCGAACCACAGATCTTCCGGTCGGTAAATTCGCGCTTAACCAGTTCGTGAATTTGAATGACTGTTATTCTTCGAACTTGCTTGCTGTTTTAGAATTAGTCTAAAGCTAACCGACTGGATGAATGTGTTTGACAGCGCAATTCTGATGCTGTGATACCAGGTTGGCTTGTAATTGGTGCCAAGGGTGCCGGGTTGACCGATCCTTTTCGCTCACATACACACACAAGATGAACAATGTGTTCGAGGACAGATTCTACATGGAGTGGTATGTGCTGGTAACTCACTAGTCACTTGTCTGGGTAAATATTTCATAACAATACCAACCCGATGTGAGTAAATCAAGGCTTGTGAATTTGGACCGAATGATGTGTACGTCTCAGTGCATACATGTTTACATGCCTAGTTACTCTACATTTCTGTTGTCTAACCGTGTGTTGTTCGTACTGCTTTAGTGGTGTTGCTTATTCATCGACGCATCCATTCACCTATTTAGTCTCGTGATTCGAATCCCTGTACACAAGGTTACTCACTTGTAATAGGCGGCATATCATACCTACAATGGAGTGTCGTTTTCTAGTGAAGCGGGAGAGGTTGAGGGAACGAACAGCAGTGAAAAATTCACACCAAACTATATCTACTGAAGTTGTTTCGTGACTGAGCTACGACCCTTGGTGAGTGGACGACCAGCACCATTCTTTAGTACAGTAGTCTTACGTTAGTAAAACTCGCACTCAACGAAATACTCCTGAAATACTGTACCTTGTTAAGCCCGGGACTTCAGGTTGCAAAGGAATGGGTATTCAGGTCACCGATCACCTACTGATCTTATTCGCTAAAACCTAATATCCTCTCCTCACACTCCGACTTTCCCTAGCTCATCTTGTTCACCGTGAGATTCGCTTTATTTTTCCAGATATGTGATTTTGGACTTGCCCGGATAGATGATCCATACGGCGAAACGCACCTTACTCAGGAAGTTGTGACGCAATACTATCGGTCTCCTGAACTCCTCATGGAAGCCACACGCTATTCCTACGCAGTTGATCTGTGGAGTGTCGGGTGTACTTTTGCGGAGTTACTCGGGCGGAGAATACTTTTCCCGGTAAGAGTCATGTAATCTATTTACTGGTGGATAGCTTGTCAAGGCAGAGCTCTAGATGCTGGAGAAAACGCAAAGGAGCCTTGATTTCCTCTCCTGAATATCCGGTGTTGTTGCTCTGATCCAAAACTTGAAGAATTGATGGAAACCTAACGTCTAATGTTTGCTGTTTACCCACCTCTTGAATGCCATCGGGAGAGCGCTTTCTAATGTGTGCTTATTATGATTTGTTTCCTGAAGTTTGCTTTCGTTTGTCATCGTAAGTCACGGTACTGGCTGGGTGGGTGCTGTGATAGTGCATTACATCAGTCCAGTCCCTTTAGAAGGGAATCCAAATCCAAGGATAGACTTTTTCCTTTAACTTTTGTACAAGAGAACGGTGCTGCTCGCAGATAGCTGTAATGTTGAACGCATGATAAACAGGCTTCGAAGATCAACATCAAAACATCAAGCAATATTACCCTGGAATGCATTCCTGTGGGCCACGTATTACAAACGATGTGACCCCAGATGAGGTCATCGTTGTGCAGTCACCATGTTAGAACTGATCTAACAAATTCAATGGTTGAGTCCTGCAGCCTTGATCTATTACACTTGACTTATGCTTCTCTCAACCTTACTAGTCTCTTCTGAAGTTGATCTGAACTAGGTGCTCGATCTGGTTGCTCATACCCTCAGTCCGATAACAGTTAAACCTGACCGGGGAAGAAAAAAACGTCTGTCTGTTTAGCGGCGTTCACATTGGTACAGAGGCGACGACCGATTTGCTCTCGTCCAATGGCTATCCGCTACCAGCCGATCGATTGAACCTTAGTCCATTCCTCGTCAATGCCAGCCGCTACCCGTCCGGCCTATCCAAAAATTAGGCTACCTCTCGGTGTTTCGCGAACCGTATGCCATGGCATACACCGAGAGGTGCGCTGACTAGGCTTAACTACCGTCCCTCGTTCGCCTTAGGACAACATGTATGGCTACCGTTCGTTCACACGTAGGTTAGTTGGTCCGTTCCTATTGTGTGCTTCCGTTTGTGGTGATCAGTGCGTGCACTACTCACTGGCTTTTCACCCCGCTTACTTCCGTACGTGGAAAAAAAGTGACTAGGTATCTGAAGCTATTTCCCCCAGTGCAGTGATGCGAAGCGCCGTTAAACCAACTGTCAGGGTAATTGGATGTTAGGCTATTTTTTGAAACGTCTATTTCCGATATGGGTAGTATTGGACGGTTGCCCGGACTCTACTCCAGGTCAAGTAATTTTGTCATGCAAGTGTCTTCACAGTTTATGTTCAGAGTCTATGCACTTGTTTAGTGTGTTACACTTTCAACGAACAGATATAGTGCTTCCTGGCTCGCTTTCGAGTGGATCTACAGTCCGCCTAAATCTTCCAAGGGTAGATTCGAACCGTATCTGTCACACTGTTAGTCTTATTTCAAAAGGCGACCCACTCGAAAGTGTTCACTTGATTCAAAATTGCTTGAATGGCTTCTTGCAAAGTGCAAGTGGTAGTTCTGTTGCACGAGTTCCACTCATTCACCAGCTTTTCCCCAACTTGTTCAATATGGGTTTTCTACATACGGTTGCCAGGGGTCGAACATAGATTGTGTCCCGAAATATGCGCAAGCGAGGATTTGTGGCATCAAACTATTCATTTGGATCCTCTTGATGTCAGTCAATTGTTTCTATGCTACAACCCACAGTACTTCACCATTTTAAGGTTCCTTTCCAGAATTTTATTCGTTCTGCGAGCGCAATCAGACGATAGGCGACTAGTGTGTGTGCCACTCGCCATCTTTCACCTGCCCGCTTGCCTGCATATCATATGTACTTTTGAGCGCAATATGTAGGTCATTGCAATCTGGCAGCAAAGCCGCATGAGATGGATGCGTTTCGCGTGCCCCATATCTTGCTCAGCCTCCACATACGGACAAAAGGTGAACAGTTCACTAATGACGTAATACTTGGCATTTTTGAACGAAGATTACGGTCAGACGGTTGGTCAGTTTTGCTTCACTGGTTTTCTTGAACGCGATTTGTATGAGACGCGGTAATCACCCACCTAATCGGGTCAGTTTTTCAATCAAGTAATGTTACTATCTAAGACAATAAGAAGAAATCAGAAGAAATTTGATGGTTTGGAGTAAATGGTCTTTACAATACATTCTCTGCGGCATTTCAGCTTACTGTGGGTGTACTATAGAGAAGCATAATGGTAGATTGCTTATTACAAAGTCTACTGCATTTAACACTAATATGGCTCTACCAAACGTACACACGATGCGGTGCCAGTGGACCTTCTGTGGTGCATCTAATCACATTTTGTTTTTATGAGGTGTTATTTGGTCTTAGAATGGTATGGAACTGGGTCTACTCATCACTTACTCCTTGACCTGGTATCGAAGCCAGTGCGAAAGGGCTTGTTGAGAGCACGTACACACACACACACACACACCCACACCTAAGTAGTCTCATTTGAAAATACCATACTAATCTGAAACAGGTTGTGTAATCTGTTTAGTCAGGTGCGAGAATACCCATCAATAATCACGTTGGATTCTGCTGCAAAGAAGCTAATCGAAAACATACCGCACTTCACCACAATCTATTTATATTGATATTATTATTATTATTCATATTATTATTATTTATGATTTGTCTTTTGCTTGATGGCTTATCCATACTTTCGTTGATTCAAAAGATTCATCAGGACCGACTCAGGAGTAATATAGGAGCATATCAAATATATAGATTTCTTTTTAGTTCGTATAATGAAGGAATTATTCGATCACGTCTGTCAACTATGTTAATCCTGAGAAAGGAAACAATACTGTGCTGCGCGGATAGCCATTATCATTTGGGAGTAGTCTTTCGAGGATCCAGTAAGCACATAGACTGTGCGATTGAAGGATGAGTGGCGACGATTCCAGTCCAGTTGCAGCACTCCTGACTAGCCGCTTGTCGTTGTCCGACTTCAACCAAACTTCAAACCGTTCAAACTTCCAAGGAAACTCGTGAGGTGCACATTGTTGGTGTTTCTTAATGAGGACAAAACAGTCGTACAGTGCTTATAAGCTTTTCATCATGCGTGGAACTAACTCGTATAATGGAATGTAATATTTGAACCCTCGTGATTAATCTCATCGCAAAAGAAATATGTTGGGCTACCGCTGCAGGGAACGCTGAAGGATTCCGCCACAGACAAAGATAGTTTAGGAGCATTCCGAAGCAGTACATTCGGAGGTAAACTTTCCGTTCCTCGTGGAATAAGGTCGACTTAGTAACAGAGCAGCCAATGGAACCGCCCGACCGAACAACTAATCGTGATCGAAGGCCAGCTCCGGCTAGCAACACAGATATTCACACGCAACACTACTCAACACAGGACCACCGGCCCGTCTCTACACTTCACTACGCACCCTAACAACCCACTCACGATGTCACCTCGATTGGTGATGAAACCTTAGCAATCAAACTGCCCAATTTAGCGAACGGATCAACGACCATTCTATCTTGTATTATTGCTGACCACAATTGCCCACTAACCATTGTTCCAATTTTCTTGAGGTCTTCCGAGTTCTCTGAATATGTCGATTGGCCGTGTGGACGTACAGCATGGCTCTCGTAGATCTGTTTCGTCCTCACTTGAATATTTTAGATTAAGAAAAATAACAATACTGGACGTTATCTACGACTCTGAATTTTAGCCTGGGAGGGAGGTAGGACAATGGGATACATCAACAGAATAGCGCAGTCGTTCACACAGCTCGCCCAAGCAACAGCTCGTTGCTGTTCCTTCTTATAGGAATAGTGGACTAAAAAAACGTGCGTTCCAAATTTCGTTATGACTGAAAACTCCCTGCACATGCAGACGTGTCTATGACCCTCGAATCAAGTGGGGGACTGGTCTAAAACGGGACTGGGAACCGATTTATATGAATTTTGTGAGTGAGCTGACTGGGGTGAAGCACTGTAGGCATACTCTAGGTCCGTTGTATACCTTTGTCGGCCCATTTTCCGTTTTTGCATGGATTTAGTCTCCCCATGTTATTCGATTTTAGCTGATGAATGATGAATTCTCACTGAAAGATTTGGGGATTAGTATAGACTTGTCACCATTTGAATGTATTGCGTGTATATGTCATTCCAGGCAAGAAGTCCGCTGGAGCAGTTGGAATTAATTCTCGATTTGACTGGCAGTCCGAGCCCGGATGATTTGGAAAACTGTCATCCAGACGCCTGCTGCTTCGTACTCTGTTCTCGATCCCGACATCCCAACCCATCGATTTTATACGCTCTCGCACCGGACGTTAGTGAAATGACTGTGCATTTGTTGACCAGTATGCTCAAATTTAACCCGGTAAGTTGGTTCGTTTCAAAATGGTTTGTTGTTTGATAATTCGCGGATCAATTACTCTTAGAAAAGCATGGATGCGCTTGTACATTCCACTCACATCACGTTTTTGGAACTAGGTCGGCTGGTAAATGTTTCGTCCTCGTGCGACTGTTCCGAACCAATTAGGTAACCTGGATGACTATCATCACGTGTGACTCGCACGCATTGGTCACATGTTACCTTGTTGCACTTTGACAAACCACGACTTGATTCGTAAAGTCGGCACCTAACGGTGGATAACGTTCAACTTAGAGGAAATCCATCGTCGCAGTGACTGCTGTTGACCTTCCAGGGAGTAAGGTCATTTTGAAGACAAATTAGAGAAATGTTCAAGTGCATCTGACACCATCAGTGGTGACGATTCTACTGATTATCGCACCACATTGACATAGCAAATAATAAGGTCCCTCCAGCTTAATTCAGCTGTCCGTAAGGTGCAAAGAAAAAAATCTCACAGAAGCCGCTTTAAGTGTGTTGCGCACAACGCTGTTGATAGCAAAGCGCTATGAAACGTATCGCCCGTATCTCGCTCAGGTTACCTCATATCTGGCTAGCTGGTCTTAGCCTAGCTAGCTGACACGCTACAGGCGGAGTTGTCCAGATTGGGTTGCCTCTATCATGATTGGTCCATGTCAAGGTCAACTCACTGCCATCTGCCCATTCTCCTTGATGACGGACATTACGTATCTACACAGTCGATACTCCGATCGAGTTTTACCACCGTATGTTTTAGTGGTGTGCACCGGTACCGTAGGTCGCTGTCTGAGGCCTGAGTTTTTGTGCTGACTACAGGACATCCTAATGACTGGGCAAGTATGCCAACTCAAGGATTAATTCAAGGATCAATAGTGGCACTGGTTTGAGGCCAAAAAATTGCAAAGCTACAACCAAGCCAAACTCATGAAAATAAGCTTGTAGAATCTCAGGATGAATCTAGGATGAGCGTTACCTGTTCAATCCACGTGATAACTTTGATATGCAGCTCGTGGTTGATCAGTTCAATTTGGCTATTCTCTCAGATAGTGCACAAACTTGCTTTTGAACCGTCCTGAGCTTCCCGAGTGCATAGAAAGCCATGGATATGTGAAAGATGCCATGCATCAAATGCTAAAAAGTCGTTTGGAGCTTCGAAATATTGTCTTCACTCGCCTTCTACTGGATCACTGTACCACTACTTCAGGGAATCAGGCTTCCTTACATTTCCCCTGTTTATTGGTCCCCATATTATGATCTCATTTAGTTCACTGCCGCATGATACCGTCATCGACCGTCTTTATCCATTCTATTTCAGCACGCTCTGCAATGAATTGATAGACTGACCGTATCAGCTGACCACATATGAAACTCAGACGGTCAACAAACGGTCAGACTCAGGCTCAGGGTGAAGTTGTTCAGTGTGAAACCAGTAGATTGGTGGGTAGCAAATACACAAACTTCTTGTAGTTAATGTGGCGTTACATTACACAGATAACGCGCGTACTGACAGTGTACAGATCCGTGCCCGATCACCTCCACGAATCCAGAAATCCGTGGCGAATAACAATATGCACCGTTTGCATCCGACCAACTTAGCTCTCTAAACCGTAATTCTCTTGTCTTCGCACTAGACCGTTTACAGTGAATTAGAAGCTTTCGACCAAGTCTTTTACCATAAGTACACTCATTCAGTTTGGACCTGCATAAACTTTCTAGTTTCAGTCTCATTTCTTATAAGGGAATCTTGTAAAGTGATCAATTCTGGTCAGTCGCTGATCGACTCGATGTTTGCTCCAATTATTGTGATTAACTCTTCTAACTTTGCAAGGTTCATGGGTGTATTTGAGAAGAAATTGATGCGCAAGGAACCTCGTCCCCAAAGTTTCCTAAGCCTTCCAGTAGAGTAATCAGCTTCATGCTATGTGACACCAAATGTTCTGCATGTTGGTTTTTCTACTGATTCGGGCAGTTATGTTGGGAGTATTTCGTCATCAATCGAGCTAACGTCTTCAGCGCGTTTCGATGGACAACAATCCATCTAAGAAACCACAGCGATTGGTAGTGAGACAGCTGCAATCCAACTGTCCAGTTCAGCTAGCAAAGTCACGGCCACTTATACAGCCTGAGTTACAACCATCCTCTTCAGCACCAAAGGAGCCTCATTCATGTCAACGTGTCAGTGAGTCAGAGTATATGTTACGCCATATGGAAAGTGACAATATTGCTCCAGTATACAGCAACCCCCAAAATCCATCCTTCTGAAAGGGGAACACTCATCTGAAGGCTTCACAGCCATGTACGACCCCCGGGAGTTAGACATCTCGTTAGAGGAGGCTAGATATTCCTTTCCCCTTGTCAGAATGCCTTAATGGGATAAGCATATATTATTCCACTTTTTCGTGGGGCATCTTATGTTTTACGGTAAGGTAGAAGGAGCCAAGGTCGGATGTAATCGTTTTGTAACTACTCTAATTCAAATCGAACTGATTACGTGGCCTGTGCAAGGAAAGCCATATAATTTGTTTGCGCCATCTGGCAAGTGCCTTGAGGGCCTTGTGTAGGTGAGGAGTTCTCTTAAACAAAAGATCATTGGCTAAACCTGCAATCATATTGTATCAGCAGGACGCGCCGTTTAGTTATGTAAGTTTTACTGTGATTCTAAGAACAACTTCAGCCTTCACCACTTCGTCCGACTATGTACGGCTTAGGATAAAAAGAAGTCCGCATTTGCCTCCAAGGCATACGCTCTATTTTCTGTCCCCGTCTTATATAATATTGCTAACCCTAGTACTCTGTTAGTATCAGCTCATCCCATCATCGACTGTGTACAGAATGGGTTCATATATGTATCTGAAACCTCTGTAGTTTGGCCTTTTTAAATGGACCGCATCACCACATTCTGAACTGCGGATTATTCTCAGAGTGTATGCACATAATCGTGCGTCTGTCAACCGACCATCTTCTAACCTAGATGTATTGTATCTGGGACTTGGAACCCTGTTTCGAGGACGATACAGTGCGACCATTTCGATCCCGGTGTGAATGGCGTCAGCAGACTCGTGTGACATACTGTCACACACAAAACATACACACGCCTACTGGGTATACAACGAACCCGGTGTGCTCCAGCTTGCGGACTGACTTTTGTGAAAGCACCTCATTTTCGGATATTCTTCTTCGATAACAGCTACAGTCACATTAACGACAAATTTGTTGTTTCAATCGCTGATCTCGCTTTGTTTTTTCGTTTGTTAGCGCCAACGTATCACTGCAGCCGAGGCTTTAAACCATCCATTTTTGGAGGAAGCGCGCCTGCGTTACCACTCGTGCATGTGTTCCTGCTGTCACGATGTGGGCTCTTCTTTCGCTTCTGCGAACGATTCAGATGCGACAAGTGCCTTCTGCTGCGCGCCTTCACCGTCCGGCTCTTCTTGTGCGTCCTCCACCCCTTCTAGCGATTCCACTCCGAGTACACCGGGTAAATTTTACAATCGCTATGAGGCCAAGACCGCGGCAAACGCAATGGCTAGTCCGTCTTGCAGCACTACCTCCAGTTCGAGCAGTATCAGCTGTAATACTGGAGGAGGGGGAGGGAGCGGTAGTGGTGGCAGTGGAAGCGGTATGGCACGAAGGCGGTATTGTCACGATTTGGATCCAATTTGTCCAGTCCTACTCCCGTTTGATTTGGATTCAGGATTTCGACGCCTTTCGGATGCGAAACGTAAGTAAATCACATGTGGCAATCCTGCTGCCAGTGGTAACAAAATGGTAGTAGAGTAACACAATCGCCCTGGAAGAATTTTTCGGACAAGTAACCTCAAAAACACTGTGAGAAGTGTGGATGTTAACCACCGTGCCTCCTCCTGTTGGAGTACATCTTGATGTTGTGGAACATTTATAGGTTGTGAATCGTTCATTTCAAAACCTCTCATTCGTCGCAGTATAGATTGAATTTTCCCATAAAAACTCCTCTGTATTCTTTCTGAAAAGCAGTTCCGATCCTGCGGAGCACATCGCCCCTGGAATGTTGTGCGTCCGTCCTCCAGCTTCTGTTTGAGTGAAAAAAGCGTTTTCAAGTGAATTTGTTAAAAAGGAGTCGGTAATCTAAATTGACTGTGATAAGTGATAGAAATCTGAGTTTGAGACTCTTACCCAGTTAAAAGAGTTGTACTGCAAACTTGAAAGCCGGTCATTATGACAGCACCAGCAAACAAGCAACCAGACCACCGTGGTACTGCGATTTAGGACAGGACTGAGGCCATGTCCACAGCCATTTTTGGACTGATGTGATTGTCATAAGTGTTTCCCGGCTCCTCGAGGTGTTCAGCCATGAACTTCAACAGTTAAGGTAACACCACTCGGAGTGGACTGGCCGAAAAATCATTTCACCTGCCTGAAGATGAGTCAAGAGGAGCATTTCGTTTGTTACAGGGTATATTTGAGTTTGTAGTGTTTTTCGCAAAACACTTGCCTCTTTTTTGTCCGACGTAATTTCGCTCTTACCTGCCAGTTGTCAAGCTAGATTTCATCCTCGTGAACCAACTCGAAGAGAACGTTTATTCATTGCCGTCGAGTCAAGGCTGGATGATAACTGGTGTACAGCCCTGCTTAAACATTGAGTGACCTACAATTGCCTAACGGTTCGAGCCCCTCAAGAGAGTGGCTAGGGACAAACCCAAGACTAATCTTTGTCATCATAAAAAGTGAGATATTGACAACNTGTGATAAGTGATAGAAATCTGAGTTTGAGACTCTTACCGATAGACTATACTTTCTAGTATATTCTTACTGAGTCCTGCTCTCCTGTATATCATGTGCCGCAGGTGTCCCTGCTCAGAGGTCTTCATCAAAAACTGCACAGATAGCGACCTAGTCTTTTCTTCCCACGTCAGGTATCATGGTGTGAAGGCCAAGGTGGTGGACGCCCGAGTTGACGGCGGACAAGCACATCTTTAGTTGCCCTCCTTGATGGTGACGCGTCGACATGGGTCTGGAGGAAGAATCACCATTTAGTCATTCGGTTTGCGGGGCACGTGCCTAAAAATTACTGTCGGTGTTACTTGTCTCTCTTGGTCATTCCTAATATACCATATATTGTCGATTTTGTCACACTACTTCATGAATGACTTTATCAGTCCGTCTTGTTTAAGTTACAGCCCTCTGGCAAGATTAGTGCAACACCTTTGGTCTTTTTATATCCCCGAACCGCAGTGAACAGGTTTCGGTTCCATAAGGAAGTACAGGACGGATAAAGGCGTTGGTTTTGACACTACTTTTCGACTCATTCCGGAGGATATCTCCGAGTGGTAGAGATACCACACTAGAGCTACCAATACTTCTCGTCACCTTATCCCTTTTTTTGGTCGTTTGCTATATTGCCCACCGAGGGGAGCGTTAGTCTCATTTGAACGTGCTAACTTGTGGCAGGTGTAGTGTGCTTACCGAGCAAATTGGTATGGCTTAGGTAGATATCCCTGAATGCTGCTAGTGAAATCGGATTATGACCAAGAAACAGAAGTGCATCAGGTAATCAAAGCAGATGTAACAAAAGCCCGGACCAACGCAGAAGCACTGCAAAAGAGTTTTACACTAACATTATCGGGTAAAGGAAACCAGTCGGATTTATCTCGCTTCCAGACATGTACTGGAAGCTGGCCTGCTGTCTCCTTAGCGAGCGCTCAACTAGGCTTAAGAAGACAGCGCACTTAATGCTAAGATGTCAATAAGTGTTTTATCCTTTCCAGAAATCTATTCATTATTTGTGCCTCCTGGCCCATGTGAAAACTTCACCAGCCAGTCCGATCTCAGTATCTCAGTGGACGCAACTTGATATGCTGTTCTCCCTTCCCAGGTGTCCTATGGGACAGCATCCAGGATTACTATCGTCGCGACGACCGTCTGACACGAGTAGTGCTCAACAAAAATGGTGCGAACTACTCTAGTTTCATCAAGTAAGTTTAGTTCCCGACTGTTTTGTTTTTCCCACAACTTTTATCTGAAATGTGTTTCATTGTTTCCTCAGTATAGCAGAGATGGCCCAAGTGGTTAGAGCGCGAATTTACTGACCGGAAGGTCCGTGGTTCGACCTCCGCCACTCGACTTCCCCTGTCTAGGCTTGGACAACCTGGCAGTATCCCAGCCCTCGTGCTTCCTTCGGGTGGCATGGCAGCTAGGCACCGGAAGGGTGCTACAGCTGAACGCTTTCTTTTTCCATTCAAAGCAGAGTCTACAGTACTGTAGAATTAGCGCTGGATACTAATTTTGACAATGTTTGGTTTCCCTTCCGTCTATCAGTAGTTCACAGGGAGAATAAAATCACACGATCGGTGGAGCTCCCGTCTAAGAGCCAGTCAACACGTAACTACGTGATGTGGATTCCGTGAGTGAAGGATAAGTGGGGCTAAATACGAGATTACCACACTGCCGATCAGCTGCCCGTGGCCGAATGGCTCAATGTCCAAACTACCACCGGGATGTAATGTCTCCGAAACTCCCTTGAATTTTGTAAGATGCACATTGTTGGTGATCCCTAATAAGGATGAAACAGCTGTACAGTGCTCCTCGGCATTTGAGCATAGATTGGCTTCATGTACAGGATTAAATGTTTACTGAAAGTTCCGTATTCACCAATCCAACTTTGACTACGCGTGATACAATGTAGAGCTGTAGAGCTCCGGCAGGAAAAGTTAGTTGAGCATAGATTGGCTTCATGTACAGGATTAAATGTTTACTGAAAGTTCCGTATTCACCAATCCAACTTTGACTACGCGTGATACAATGTAGAGCTGTAGAGCTCCGGCAGGAAAAGTTAGTTCTCAAAAAGCATATTTGGATGAGACCACTTTGGATGCACCCAGTCAGTCTTGTTTATCTCAAACGTCCGATGAACAAAGACCATACCGGTCATAGTTTTGTGTATAAAGTTTTGATTGTCGAGAGTGATTTGTAGACACAACTCTTGGAGAATGCAAGTTCGCATCTCAGAGCTTCCAAACGAGACAAATTTTGAATAATCCAAACCTCCGTTTCAGCCGGTAGTGTTTGCAGGTCTAGAACTTGTCCTCCATCAGAAGTGAAACAAAAGTGTGAAGCTTGGATTCGGAACACAGTGCAGTGGAATAAGGTGTTATGAATCAGTTCATCAATCAACTAAACGGTCACTTGATTGTAGATTTTTTCGAAAAGGGTTGACCATGGCAACCGAAACGTCGGATCGTAACGTCTTATTTTACTACGCTGTGTTTTGAGTTTAAACTTTCCACGTTTTACACCACCTGGTGCTCAACCTGTTTAACAAGATTCTGGCCGTGTTCGGCCCGGGACTCGTAAATAAAGCCAAAGAATTACTGACATATTTACTCATACGCTATTTTTACCCTGTTTCATCCGCAATCAGCTCTTCCGTCGCTCAGGCCAAAGAGGTCCCGGCTAGTCATCGATGGCACTGAGCAGTGGTTCGTTTGTTCCAGCGTTTGCGTCAATTCTAATTCATCACCTTGCCATCCTGGCTGGCGGAGTGCAGGGACGGTGCCTGAGTTTCAACCCTGGTCTCTTCAGTCTTCCACTCGTTCATCTAATCGGGCAGAAATCGATTCATCGAGTTGTAGGCGTTTTACCACATCTGTTCAAACCATCCTCCGCTGTCTTCACTATCAACAAACAGTTCGCATACTGGTAATCATTCGCATCCACATCAACATCCTCATAATCTGTGTTACGTTGTTCTCGCTAGTCTTTTTCTACTGCTCTATCGGCTTTTGTTATTGTTTGTTTACTTCTGGTTTCTTTCTCTGTTCCTCTGATTGTTTGTTTGTTTGTTTCACTTCTTCAAACGTCACTCTCCCTAATAACAACGATACTGTGGTTTGGTTTTGAATGAATAGGCTCTATCTAATGCCTACGAGCTTTCTTCCTACTGTGTGACCATCCGACTGCCTAGTACAAGCAATAGGGGCAGCGTCAAATGACGCTATGTGTATCCCCAACCTCGCCCTCTATTTTGTCGCTCGTATTTTGTTTCTCTTCCCATCCTATCCATCTTTCTCGCACCAAGTGCACAGTACGGTCGACCAGTTTCCTCAGTCCGTTAATGTTGCTGTCGTCGTTGTTTCGTTCATTTGCGTATATTGTTTCGGCGTGTTTTTTCGCTGCTTCCGACCACGTTCTGGACAAGTTCTGTTTCAGGCTCATCAAACATTTTTGAGGATGGAGAAAGGCCCTTTACGGCTGATTTAACAATGACTACGAATGACAGCAACTACAATAGCTGTCTTTTGGTGAGACTGCTCATCCATCATCATCATCATCTGTGTATGTTCTATCCGGATTCGTTATGATAACTTTCTAGGCTTTTTGAATTCGTGTTTCGACACCTGCGACCTTCACACACACACACACACACGCAAACACAGCGAAATTCGATGGAGATTGTTTTGCTACTCGGCAATGTTGGCACTGGCTATCTTTGATGCACTCAATGTACTTGAATTCTAAGGCAACCGTGCGTTCACGGTAGAATGTGCGCACTTTGTGTTTCTGCACTTTGATCTTTCGCGCCCTGTGGCCTGTTTTGTCCTATTCTTCATGTTCAGTATTGTTTATAGGACCATCCCGGGAACATTTCATAATATGAAGTCATACGGGTACTTGTTTTATTCTTTACCTTCGGTAATAAGTTGACCAAATCCATTTGCTCATTGTAAATACTCTCTTTTTTCACCCAAGGGGTGATTAACCCTCGGACGCCAGCTACCTTATTCCAGCCTTTCTGCTGCTTCTGCAGCGGTCGATTTGGTTTCCAAATCGACTGACTTGTACAGTTATTTGTTTGTTTTTGGCTGTTCTCTACAAAAAACTTCGTTTGTTATTCCCTCCCCTCTGTTGTTTATCCCGCCTCCCAACTCACACCACGGATCTTTCTCAGTATGTTCACGCACCGAACGCCACCCTATTCCACACGATCTCCACCTTCTTTCGCGCAGCATTGTTTCCTTTATACTTTCTGACAAATTATCTCATCCGGAAGTGCTGAGGACTTATGAACATCTAAGCGTCCGTTCTAGTCTTCTCTCGCTCCTCATTATTCCAAACACACACACAATGTTCTAGTCACAAGCTGACTACTTTGAAGATCCATGCCCACTTGTGAGGCACCCCAATTTCATCCAACTCTCTCCACTACACTATGCACTCATAGCCACAACAGTCATTTATAGCACACCTATCCTGCATTCTACGTACCGGATTGCGCCAAACTTGCACACGTGACCTTTCTTTGTTACCCTCCACCCCCAGTTTTGCCACTGTGCCCTGCCTCCATGTGCTATCGAATCTTAGTGAGTGTCTTTTGTGTAGCAATTACACTCGCTAAAGGTCGCTCCTACAAATTTGTCTTCCGATGATCGACTAAGAGCTTGGTCGTGCGGGTAACCAGTGTTAGTCAGATTAGATACACAGAGACCAATAGGAGTTCGACCTTCACTCGAGTTTGTTTGTTCTGTGTGCAACTCACGCACCGATTGTTAGTGGTAAATTGAGTCATCGGAGAGCATCACTTAATCTGTGTTATGGCCTTCTACTGAAGCGATGCAACTTTACTGCTGGTGGGAATCACTGCAGCAAAACTACTAAGTAGAAAGTGAGTTTGGACACAGATGCAGACCAGATTAGTTATTCTACGTCACAGCCTGAGGTCTATTTTCAGGGGCTTTTCACGCAGCCACAGATTCCCGTTCGAATATTACCTTAGGAGATGAGATTACTTGACCTCCGTAGGTTGTGTTGCTAAACCTAGGCTTCAGGCTGGAGGTTTGTGTCATATCATTGACTCTGAGTGAAAAGGTTCAAAAAAGCTTGCTCATGTTTCCCTAATGTTCCTCAGCTCAGGTAAATCAATAAAAACACGTGATAACGCATCGCGTGCTCCAGGGGTGCGAATTACCGTTTCGGTTGGTAGGAGACTAGCTTACTGGGAAGTTTATCGTTTCAAAGGAATACACAGTGCTCGGGTATGCTTCTAATCCTAACCTCAGAGGCATTGATGGAATTCCGTACAATCGACGGGTTTTTTGTTGCTAGGGCCTAGGGCTTGAAAGTATCGGTATCCCAGATAAGCATATTATGTGGGATACCAGCACACAGGGGGGTATTCAACCTATTCAGCTTCTCAATCCAGTCTTTTCACCAAGCAAAAGGTTCTCGGAGCAGAGTTGGTTGTCTCAAGGTTAGAACACACAGTATGCGATAGTGATGAAGGATTGGGGAAAAATCTGTGACAGTGAACAGAGCCAAGTTCGACGGGGGTAAGCTCAAGTAAAGGGGCATTGTGAAATGCAGTCATAGAGGAGAATGTCGGCAGCTCAGGTAGCCTAGATGGTCGTTGGCTTGTTCGCTGAGCTGGGCAGTTTGGTTGCAACCAAATTGCCCAGCTCAGCGAACAAGCGATGGATCATGAAGGCTACTGCCAATCTGTCAGTAAGCGGTAGGTTTCACAGACAAGAGTATGGAATGTGAACGAGTGCAGAATATTGAAACAACGGAGTAAAGGCGATTGTGGCGAGTCTTAAGAACCCAACAGAATTCCTTGTGTGTATTTAGACGAAGAACTGCTTACTAACTATACAATCAACCAAAGTACTTGATGATAACTTGATGATAACGCGGTGGTATTTGGCCTAGACCAGAAAAGAAAGTGAGGCAAGAGAGATCAGTTTGCGGAGAGCATTAGCTACGACAAACAAACCATTACGGTTGAAGAGGGCATAACAATACACAAGGGATAAATCAGATGAGAGAGGAAAAGACAAACCCAGACTGGTGGATAGAGTCATGCTAAGTTGCGTTACATAATGATCTTGAGAGGCGAGAGTTTTCTGTCGCTGATAGGTGGGAATCATTAAGAATGTCCGGATAAATCTTAACGAAGCAAGTGAAAGCGAGTTCTTTTGCTACTTCGCGACATTAAGAAAGAGACTCAGTAAACCATCTGAGCATTCGACTTGGGAATTTTCGCAGATTTCAGAAATGGGCAAATCATATTCGATCAAATGCCCTCACTTATTTACACTAGAAGAGAACTCTCATAGCGAAGAAATCATGGATAAACAGAGTAGATGAAAGAGTAGGATAGAGTTTATTAGTTAGGAACAGCAAAATCTAGGCGACGGGCATACGCTGAGTACGGATATGCTGCTGAGTCAAGAGGATGAATTAGCGACAACAAGTCTTTGCGACAAAAACTGCCAAAAACATTCGTATAATCGAGGGAAAGCAAACTCATATTCTTTCTTTCCCGGTTTAGACAGTGAGGTATGCGAGGGCATCTACAGTGGAATGTGGGTGACTTCTAGATGAGGTTTGGTTTGTCGGATCTGACAGCGAGTTTTCCAAACAGCGTGGATGCTCTGGCACTTACCGGTAGAAAATTTGATGTACGGCCATTTTTCTTCTGATCCAGTAGAAGGGGCGATCACTTCTTTCGAGTGCCCTTCACTAAATACGGACAATGAAACAACTTATACGTCACTCCTCGAAAAGAGGCGAGGACGCAAGCAGACATTGACATGTTTGAGGGGCAAATTTGGTATAGTGTTCACCGATTGTTTAGATTTTGGTTTGCTGGAAGACAAAGCAAAAAATGGACAAAAACAGGTTTTTGTGTATTTTTTCTATTCTCCCAGCTTAAATTTGTGATTGGTAGTATCACACCGTTCTGAACAGAATACCACATAACACTTGGTCTAAACCTTAAAAGAAAAAATGACGAAAAACCCAAGCTACGTGTTTTATGGGGATTTCGAAATTGGAGGTACAGGGATGATCAAGATTAGTCTTTTTCAGGTGATGCGCACTCCACTTGAATCAAGTGCCAATTTCATCCGGGTAGTTATTTTCTGACGAAAAACCAAGTATATTATGACCGTATAACATTATGCACTCCGTGTACAGTAAAGTAAAATATATCAATATTCTAGTGTCTCATCGTAGCACTCACTACATGTAACCGGTCTACAAAGCTGGTGTTTAACTGCAGAGTGCTGCCGATTCTGTTTGCTGTGGGTGGTCTCGAGATTTACTCATAGTATTCCCGTTTAAACAAGCGTCCTCATGTACTTAATCTGGTGAGTCCACACCAAAGTGTGGAGGCACTGGACTCGAGTTTCGCTCTTACTTAAGCTCATCAGCACTAAGTATACACGACTGCGCAGGGTTCTGAACTCCAGATATCTGGCATGCCAGGCGAGCGTGCTACCACTACTCACTCACCAGCGCACGCTGGAGATTTTCACTTATTTTTAAAGTGTCCGTGACGCTACCCACTGGAAGTCTTGACAGGTAGGCCAATCGATTGACAAAACAAGTCGCTGTTCGAGCCGTTGGGCAAACCAGTCAAATCGCCCAAGTGCGAACACATTCGCCTGTTCGGACGTGAAAGTTCAGATGCGTTCAGTGTGGTGAAGTAGTGGTAACACGCTCAGTTCGTATGTCAGCGGTCTGGAGTTCGAACCCCGGCACGGCGAAGGATATACACTATTGATGAACTATATTAAGAGCAAAACCTCGGGTTCAGTGCTTTTCCACTTTGGTGTGGACTCACCAGAACGATTGCGCCAAGACAGGAGGACTTTTCAAACGAGAGTGATGTGACCACATTCTCTTAGTGTATCGTACACATGTAAGTAGAGAGCAGCTTGATAGATTGCCTATGGTATTGGTTCAGGCTGTTGTCAATGTTCTACTTTCTCACTTGGACATTCTATAGAAGACGACAGAAAAAGATGTGCCCACCGTTGTTTTAACGTGTCGCACAATGCGTTCGAATGAATAGTGGTCACCTAAAAATCTCTGGTAACACAGTTCAAGATGAACAACCCAACACATGGGAGCAGCTGGGTCTATTTACTCCTATGGCGAGGAAAATCGATACTACTGGGCACTTCGAACATTCACAAGATTATCGGGCTGGACATAATACACTACTCTTAGAGTTGCTGAAGTTTATTCGACAACCCACGACCGGCTTTACCCTTCCTGGGGCTTATCAGGTAGGCGCAGTCCCGGAGTTGCCGTCAACCTTATATTCTACTTGAACCCAAATTTGCTTGCATATGAGTGTATTTTGCTAATTATCGGGCTAGCTTCAGTTCCTTTGTATACTCAGTACATTATTCATGGGTTAATAGAAGTGTCATGTTCACCCAATTAGTACTACAACTTGTGTCCCGTTTGCATAGCTTCGGAAATTGTCTCGGATAGTAGTAGGGTATTCGCCGAGGAACTGCGGATCTTAACAAATGGCTGATCGAAATTGCTTTCGGAATCCGGATATTTTGCACTAACATGGAGTAGCCACTATCTGGATGAATTTTGTTTGGGAGAAAACCACATGTTAGGCTATCTGTCACAAGTGATTTGGCTTCGAAGTGTTTGATCGGATTTCCAAGCGAAAGGACATATACCCGGACCGAGTATACGCATAGGAGCCTGTGTATCGTGGGTGGCCGTTTATTAGTTATGCCTGCACTGAGTCTGCCAGACCACACGACAAGACGTCAGAGACCCCGCCTGTATTGTTGGGCAGAAACATACAGAGCCTCTGCGAAAATATATAGGATGACTAAATGGTCAATTATGGTCGTTCACTTGTTCGTTCTGTACAGCCAATGGCGGTGTTCCGGTCCTAAACACTCAGCCCCACTCCGCTGGTCGTATGTTGCTAGGGCGTGTTCGCTGAGCTCCGCCAACGCACCTGCTATCCGAAACACGTCGTACCGATGGTGACCTTGGGGATGCGTCATTCTCCACACGTGCTTTTTTTCATTTCTGGGCGCGTCCTGACAGAGTCAGAATCCCTGTGGCTCAAAGCAGCAAAGCTAACCGTGAAGTTCGATGGGCCGCATCTGTTTGGATCATCCAGGGGCATCAGACTCAGGAGTCTCAAGGAGGACGATTACCATAGTTATTTCGGAGAAAAGGTGTGCCCTTAGAGGTTAAATACATGGTCCTTGTATGCATATATAAGAGTGAGTTGATCCAGCTATCTGTTTCACAATGAACATATTCAGAATTTCACATTTTGTGGATAAGGTAACTGACCTTCACCATGGTATGGAATTCCCTCGATCTCGTCTTTGGGCTGAATGTGTTCTTCGAGAATAAATTAACTAGAGCCTCAAGGAAATTTGGTGGCTTAGGTACCCGTGAATTGTTTGTGCCTGTTTAAGCTCACTCCTACAGACTGAGTAGAACAGCCTCGCCCATCTATAAAGACACATTCAGTGTCTATTAGAGCTGATCTCACTGCAAGGAACGTATTCGACTCCGAATGAGGGGTGTTAGAGAAGGTAAGACATTCGTAGATCAGAGGTTCTTCGACTCT